ACTGACGCGGCGACGCGGGACCACGTATATATATATATATATATATATATATATGTATGTATGTATGTATGTATGTATGTATGTATACAATATATGTATATACGCATATATACACGCATGCACGCAGATGTTCAACTTTCTGCTACAGCAGGATGATCAAACTAAGCCTACATGCCACGCCTCCGAAGCCGCACCACACCGTCGGGGCAAACACCAGAGAAAAGCAAGAGATCCGACACTGCCCAAACACGAATGAGACATTAAACTTCAAGCTCAACACGACACCAGACAACAGCAACATAGTATACGATTGCAACATCAGTAACGTCAGTAACTATAAAAGACTCCACTAACAGAGTCTTCCATCCCCATTTTCTCCTGACAGGGCAGCTGGGCTCTTTGCCTGGCTCTCCTCTCCGCCATGCGGTCCCAGAGCATCAAGGCTTCATTCCGCTGGGATGAGCGAGCTGGGGTCCTGTTCCCACGGTTGTCTGGAAAGTTGCATAGAAGGGAAAGCATCCAGTTGCCAGCTAGCAAAGTCCGAGTCAACACCACCTAGCGAAGGAAGGCCCTTTAAAGAATCTTGTTGTCCTGACGCTGCTCACCTGCACTTCATTTGTTCAGACACCTGTTGGAGGGATGTCTCCCAGACGTTCGAAAAAGAGACTCCAGCTCCGGAGCCCCTGCAAAAGACAAGAGCTTGAGCTCAATACCTCAGCATTCGTCACTAGGACTCCAACATGCCACTTGACAGCTGCTGCTTCGAAGCTTCCGCAAACAATGACCGCAGTGCTCCACGGCATGAAGTGTCAAGACCACTGCATCAGTCTCACAGGAAAAGGTATTCATTTAGAGCTAAGTTCGTCATCGAAACCACGGAAACGTTTCTTCCATTATTCCCAAAGAGAGTGGTACACGCTTTGGTGTTTTATCCTTAAGAGTATGAGAGACTTTGCGCACGGAAGAAATCCGGGGACGCGGCTCCAAAGCGCCGCAAACATTGTACGCTCATTTACAAGGGATCTGGGCGGCCGAAAGCCCGGTAAAATGTGAATTCCGATACATGGGCCACCTTTTGACCTGGAAAAGGCCGAGTCCCACCAGTACGTGGGAGAAAGCATATTGGGCCCCCACATGAGTCCTGCCAGTATTTGGGGGAGGTATTTTGGCCGTGCTCCGGCATCCTCGCCAGTACTTCTGAATCTGCCCATATTTGGGGGAGAAGTTTGGTTCTGTTCCTGAATCCTGCCAGTGTTTGGCCCTGAATGCCGCCGAGACTTGGGGAAAGCATTTCGGCCGTGGGGTCTGGTGGTCTCCTGGGTTCTCTGTCTCTCCTAGTGGTTTCCTCGTGGTGTCCTGCTGGTCGTGGTTGTCGTGGTCGTCATGGTCCGGATGGTCGTGGGGCTCTATCAGGTTTTGGAGATCTACATGACATAATTCAACCATGTGCATCGTCATAATTGCAAACAGGCTGCCACTGCCATGCAATTCGTTATTGCACACTTTAGAAAAGACTTATATCATCGTTTAAGACTGTAGGGCCAGATGCTACATGAAGAAACCGCAATGGAGACGGACATCAGGGAGGTCACGGCAGTGCTTGCGGTCGGGGCTGCTGTACGAGTGCAAGGACTGCAGCGAAAGCCGGAGCTGAATGGCTGCACCGGCAGGCTCACCCAAGACATGGGTGCCGATCGCCGGGGAACTAAAATTGATGGACGAGAACTCCCTGTGAGCCTCAAGGCCGCAAACTTGCAGCTTCTGATGCCGGAAGACCAACCTGCGGCACAGAGCATGAGAGATGCTCTGGGCAGAGGACCCACGAGTAAGCAGAAGTGGTCGAACAACAGAATCCGGCAAGGATTCTGCGCGAACACAGACGTGAGCGCAGCAAGCCCCACGAGTGGACGCATTTCCCCAAGTGAGTGGCATCGAAAGGGTCCAGAGGACAGCTGGACTGACGTAGATTGGGCAAGCTCCGTCCAAGTCTCAGAGGACGGGCTTCTCAGTATTCACTTGGCTAGAATGGGTCGTGATATCCGCGCTGTACAGAAGTTTTGCGCGTGGTTCCCAACAGAGCTACAACGCTTGAAGCAGGTGAAGCTTCCAAAGCTGTACGTCTCCAGTGACGACATCGAATTGGCTTATCATGTAGATTTTCTCAGAATTGCTTGGATGATGAAGGCATGAGTATCCTTCTCCTAACTTTAAAGGAAGCCAAGGTGGTCCTTGGAGTTGCAAAGTTCTATCAGAACAGACTTGGCTGCAGCAGTGCAAGACTTCTGTCGCAGTGGATCCGGTCGGCACCTGGGGCCTTTTTCGAGCTTCATCTTTCTCACAATCGGATCAAGACAGCCGGAGCCCTAGACCTGATCAAAGCAGTAGCGGAGACCGAGAGGTACCCCTCTGCGCGCCCGGGTAGCGAAAGCTGGCCTGTGCCACTATGGCTGCGATTGGAGCACAATGATATCCGGGAGAATTGTTTTAAACAAGATGCTAAACGTTGTTTTCAGACTGTTCGACCGGATACGAAGGGAAAGCTGATCTGTTGGTTTACACGCAGAAATTGGCACGGTTGCAGAAGTGACAACTGCGGCCATTCCACCCCCAATCATTGTCCGGTGATTCACATTCCGCACCTGCGCCCGAGCAAATCCTGAACAAAGGAAAAGCAAAATCGCAAAAAGCGCAAAAAAATAGCTTGGCGCCTGAACTACTTGCTGTTCGTCGGCTTATTCTTCAAGTTGGCAACCATAGTTTTTTACATGATTTGTCGTAGAGAACAGGTGGTTGTCCGCAGCAGTAAAGGCACTGTTTGGTTGCTGTCTTCGATGTTTCAGATGTCACCAAGTCCTGCACATGAAAAAGATCAGCAACATCAGCAGCCGACCGTCGTGTCGTCAGCGATCACGGCAGACAAGTTTGAATAGACATGACGTACTTGTCCACCGGCTCTTGTTCGGTCGGCCAGTTGCTTTGCTCCGAAAGTGTAAGTTTTGACAGCGTGAGGCCTACAGCTTGCTCCTTCGGCGGCGGCCCCCGTGCGCACCCTGAGATATCAACATCAGTTCCTTTTGGTTTACATCGACTTCGGTATTCTCGGGTTCGAAGCTTTTTGGTCCAAAGTGCAGAAAGAAAGCTCGCACCGGTGTTGCGGTATGTCTATTGAAGGCTGCAGCAGCTTGTGCGTCTCAGGCCAGGGCAGAGATTGCGTGGTAGGTGATGACTGGATCCAGTCAGAGGAGGGACAAGTCCATGTGTATAAAAGAACAGCGCACCGGAGCCACCTACGCCATCCAAGGACCCAACCCGCGAACTGTTGCACCCGAGCCCATAAGACCTAAAAGCCTTGACCAAGTAGCTCTCAACCCGAAAGTCGGGAAACTCGGGAAACTGAAGGTGGCCGTTCGCCCTGGCTCTGTTAAACATGCAGGGGAAGGCCCGGTTGCTTGATTGCGGGTTCGGGAAGAGGATTTACATGAATGTAGTGCTATGGGGTACGGTTAAGGGTTTGGGGAGCTTGAGGTTCAGGTCTGGCAAGAATTTAGAGTTCACGTTCTTATCCACAGCCCTCACACCCTTCAACCTGGCTACAATGCTATATAATAGGTCCGTAGCACCAAAACCTATAACCCAAGGCCCCGAATAAGGTGAAAAGAACGCTTAGTGCGAGGGCCGTCGGGGTTTGGGGATATAGGTCTCAAGGCAGCAACACTTCACAGGCAGGGCTTGGTGGCTGCACATCGGGCTCCATGGGAAGATAGGAAGATCGGTGAGTGAATGTTGTAAATGTTGCATGTTTGTTGCAGATCTAGCTTCTCAAAAATGCGAAGCCTAGGCCAGGGCGTAAGCACAGAACAGCTCGTCGAACTGCTGTGGCGATATATCTGTACTAACCAGTGCGATGTCTGCTTGTGTGAGCTGTCGTCGTCCCAGCCTTGGCCGCCATCATCGTCATCCGTCGTAGTCAGCCGTCGCAGCAACGCTCGAATAAGCAGCAGAGGAGCTGTGGTAGCGGCGGTGATAGACTAGTACTAGTACTAGTACTAGTACTTGTAGGAGTAGGAGTAGGAGTAGG